GAAAGGGCAAAGTTTGAAATTTTCATAATGTTTAAATATTGCTTTAAATGAATGTTAGATGCTTGTTACCTGAAGAAAGTAGCAATAGATGTGAAATAATTTTTCATGAAAGAAGCAAAATGTAAACATAGTAGTATTTTTACTTCCATACAAAATACTAGATCACTATAACTGTACTTTTTGCCAAAAAGCAACAGATGATGAAAATGGTTCAGGTAATTGGCCGATGAGTAACTTTTTGGATATTATTAAAAGTACATCAAAAATCTAAAAAACATTCAGTAATAAAAATTAAAAGTATTTCTGAGGCATAATGGGCCTTTAAAACGTATATAAAGTATACTGATTTTTTTTATCACATTTTTTAATCAAAAATTCTGTGCAGTTAAATCTCGGTGGAAAAATAATTTGCTACCCATGCATGTATCCATGATTGAGTGAAAAGTTAAAGATTATCAAATAAAACGCAATATTTTTACTTTATCTAACGAATAAATCATTGCGAAGTGATGCTATTTAAATCTAATCAGAAACCAACCACTTGCTGCCTGTTAACTAGGCGTTTATTGAAATTATAACTCTATGTAAACCATGGCAGGATGCCTGTATGAAAACCTATGTGATTACAGTAGTATCCTGTAAATTACTTAATAAATGCCATGTTTAATCACCATTATAGATCTCCTGTCTTTCCTATTATATCTTTGTGCTGTTTTATATATTGTGTCGGGTTGTTATTTTTTTTTATTTTTATTTTTTTTTTTTTTTTTTTTTCCAGTAACCTGAAATTAATCTTTATTGTATAAAAGCACAAAAGATCAGCATTTTCATATACAATGCTGATATACAAAAAATTATCATACAATTCAGATATACTCATTACTGTGAATTCATTTAATTTCGTGGACATGAATTTATTTCCTGGTTTTGTCACAGAGAACATGTTAGTGGGTACTTGATTCAGGGGATTGTTTATTTTTCCAAAAGGTAAAATGTAAATAATGTAATCCAAAATAATCTCATAGCAGACAAAATAAAATTTTGTTGGATCTTAAATTTGTGGACTGAACTATCCGAGATAACCATGAAAATAAGTATGCCACAAATAATAATGATTTTTCACAATGCTAAAAGTAGGGGAAAGACATCTTCTAAAAAGATCATTTAAAAAATTTTGATCATTACCGGTAATTAAATCAAGAAATAATTGTTTCTATAGCTACTGCCCTTAAGAGCTATAATGTAAGAATTATCATTGTTAAACTATTTCATCTACATGTTAAAGCAAAAGTCACAAATATTATATCAAGTGGCTAGAAGTAACATTGTCCTAATTCAAGTCCTATGGTCCAAATTTAAGTCTAATGTCAAAACTGAGGTCATATTATGTACCTTAAGTTCACTAACATTGGAATGACATTTTCTTTAAGTCCTTTAATGTTATATTTATAATAAAGTACTTTTTAGAATAAAACAAATTACTTTAAATAAATATATTTCAATTAAATACTTTAAATGCTTTATTTATTGTCATATTGCCTATTCCACCAGTATAAAGCTTAACCTGCCTTCACTACACATAAACCAGTCTGTCCTACATTGGATAACAACATGCCTTCCCCACATATGAACCAGTCTTCACTACACATGGACAAGCCTTTATTACACATGAACCAGCCTTTATTAAACATGAACCAGCCTACACTACACATGAACCAGCCTACACTACCCATGAACCAGCCTACACTACCCATGAACCAGCCTACACTACACATAAACCAGCCTACACTACACATGAACCAGTCTTTACTACACATAAACCAGCCTACACTACACATGAACCAGTCTTTACTACACATAAACCAGCCTACACTACACATAAACCAGTCTTTACTACACATGAACCAGCCTCTACTACACATGAACCTGCCTACACTACACATAAACCAGCCTACACTACACATAAACCAGCCTACACTACCCATGAACCAGTCTTTACTACACATGAACCAGCCTACACTACACATGAACCAGCCTACACTACACATGAACCAGCCTACACTACACATGAACCAGCCTTTACTACACATGAACCAGCTTACACTACACATGAACCAGCCTTTACTACACATAAACCAGCCTTCACTACACATAAACCAGCCTGTCCTACACATACAACAGCCTTCACTATACATGAACCAGACCACACTTCACATAAACCAGTCTCACTACACATAAACCAGCCTTCACTACACATACACCAGCATTCACTACACATAAACCAGACTTCACAACACATAAACCTGCCTTCACTACATAAAAACCAGCCTACACTACACATGAACCAGCCTTCACTACACATAAACCAGTCTGTCCTAGACATAAAGCAGCCTGCACTACACATAAACCAGCCTGCACTACACATGAACCAGCCTACACTACACATGAACCAGCCTACACTACACATAAACCAGACTACACTACACATGAACCAGCCTTTACTACACATAAACCAGCCTACACTACACATGAACCAGCCTTTATTACACATGAACCAGCCTTTACTACACATAAACCAGCCTACACTACACATGAACCAGCCTACACTACCCATGAACCAGCCTTTACTACACATAAACCAGCCTACACTACCCATGAACCAGCCTACACTAAACATGAACCAGCCTTTACTACACATAAACCAGCCTACACTACACATGAACTAGCCTACACTACACATGAACCAGCCTACACCACAAATGAACCAGCCTACACTAAACATGAACCAGCCGTCACTCCACATAAATATGCCTTCACTACACATAAACCAAGCTTCACTGCACATGAACCAGCCTTTATTACACATGAACCAGCCTTTATTACACATGAACCAGCCTTCACTACCATAAACCAGCTTGCACTGCACAAAAACCATTTTCTACATCACATAAACCAGCCTGTGGTACACATAAACCAGCCTGTCCTACACATAAACTAGCCTGCACTACACAGAAACCAGTTGCCCCTACCACAAACCACCCTGCACTGCATATAATGTGCATTCTGACCATGATAAATGCTGCTTAATCATGCTGAAATAAACCTCCCTTATATTTAAACTGGTAGTTCAAAATTCAAAGAAAGACAAATCTATACAAAATTAGCAGGGCACTAGGCAAGTGGCTTTGTATATAAATCATTTTGATAAACTATTCAACTTCATCTAACTAAACTACTTGTCTCTAGAGGTCCTAGTGATTATATATAGGTTGCATATTGGAATGAGAATTTTACTTTCATTTTTATCTAATTTTTATATCCTGCTAAATACAGGAGTTCTGATTTATGCTTTCTGGGATTAGAGAGACCCAGATAATGTTACTGGTATCATAAAGCTCGTGATAAAAAGTTTAATCATTTTGATAAGTAATGTTGGAAATATCTTGTGAAATGGTCATTGTAGATTATTTTCATACATTTATTGTATCTACCTATTTCAAACAACATATTAAACATCCAAAAATCTTTGATAAAATATACCAAATGCCTTTAAAAAAAATTATATTATAGTACATAATATCAGTTTAAAAATATCTATCCATGATTTTAGACCATTTCAAATTTTCAATTAAATATCTGGCTATATGTTCCCGATATTACCAGTAATCCAAGCAAAATAAGAAATTTAATACATTAAATAATAAAAACAATAACAAAACTAGAATAAATGGTATGAATGACAAAGATCCTAAGTATATGTTAGTGTTTATACGTGCTGTTTTACAGAAATTAGAAACTTCCACTTAGTGGAAAGCTTTATTTGGCTTCATAAAATTAATATTCACTCTATTATGTCACATCTCAGTTCTATGAAGCAATATGAAAATCAAAAAGCGACTGTGAATAGAAATTGATATAGTATCTATGTTTGTTCTTCTATGCAAATTAACACACATAATTTTTTAAAAAACACAATGTTTTCATTTGATGACAAATAAAGCTGGACACTAATATTATCAACTATGAATGTGCGCCGTTTTGAAGAGTGAAAGTAGTTCTCTATGTCAAAATTATAATTAATGCAGACATTGAGGACAAGCTCACGTTCTTTCACCATTAAAAGGTAATAAATATGTTTAAACATTAAATGCAGATACTACAATATTTGCGCTAATTTTTATGAAAATTCTTATATTCTAAAATTGTTCTAATAAGTAAAAAGTTTTTGTGAGATTTAACATAACCATATAGTATGATACTTAACCATACATAAAACTTACGCTTTTTCTCTATTTTAAAGGGCAGAAATATTATGACAAAATATTTATTTTCAAATTTGCATCAACCAATTAAATCTACACATTTCTTTACTATTTTCAATTTTTTTTTAATTTTTTTTTTATTTGTCAGCTCACATTGATCTTGCACACTGTTTTTAGTCTCTTAATGCATATGTATACTGGTTGAGTGGTTGTATACTAGGTGTGGCATGTAGATGCGACAATGTATTTCTATTCAAGTGTCCATTGTTCATACAGTTAACACTTGCTACAAATGTACTTGTATTGTTTCACACAAAAACAGTTTTGTTGTCATGTACTTGGTTCATTTTGCTGACAATTAACATATATAGAAAATGCAAAACAAAATTAAAACACTGCATTCTTCTTTGATATACTGGTTAATAAGTAAGAAAGACATCCTCTTTTATGCCTCTTTAACATAAAAATGTAAAGGGGATGGGGGCAGGGCTTTATTTCCTCCTATAGCAGGGGCCGTTTGAGGGTAACTCCCCTCCCCTCCCCCCCCCCCCCCCCCCCAAAAAAAAAAAAAATCTTTAAAATCATGCAGATTTCCCAAAAAATTTAATTGACATGAACTTTTTCTTCTTCCCCTTTAACAAAAAACATCTTATTATTTCCCAAAAAAAGGAAAAAGGCTGGGGTAAAAGCCCTTGGAAGGGATGGAGAGAGAGACTGGCCGAGAGACCTTGCACTAACCTTGAGGTATATTGTTCTTGTCACTGGTCAATATTCCATTTATTGCACATATCTGAAAAACATAAACATTGATTTATAATATATAATTTGAAATAGTACGCCATACTGGTTGGGGACCATCAACCACACACTTTCTGAACATTTTTCCATACAGATTTCATAATTTTAAAGCTAGAGATCTGAAAATTTGACACAGTACAGCTAGGTTCTTCACCTATCTTGAAAATTAGTTTGTTTATTTCTGATTATGTTGACATTTACATCTGAGGCCGATCAATGATGGAATCAAAATTACCTAAATTGTCCACACTACAGTAGCCTAGCCAGTAGTAATTGTTTTATTTTACAACTTACTACAATATTTTCTAAATTGCGATAAATGCAGAAAAACAAAAATAAAATACAAATGGTGTAATTTATAAAGGGGAAGTAACTCGTCCACATATGTTAGAAAATAATCTTAAAATGCGCAATTTTAATAAGGCAGTGAAATAACGGAAAGTTTTTTTTGTTGTTGTTGTTTCTTCAAAAACTTAATAACGTTCCAAATTTCCTAATTTGTTTGGTTAATAAATATACAACTACAGTATCGTTATTTCTCGAAACCCGTTATCCAGCACAGAAATACTGTATCTAGTATTTATTTGGCGTTTTTAAAAGGGGGTGTTTGTGGTATTTTGTAGCATTATTGACCAGACAAATAAGCTAAATGCCTGTGATATGCAAAAGAAAATATATACTAGTATTTATGATATAAACCGATATAAACCGCTAGTTAATAGACAATGATGATGGTAAACATGCAAAAAATATGAAATAAACACTCGTACAAGCGCATGATCTTCTCTCCAATTTCAGTAATATTCTACAAAAACAAGCGTTTAGCTGCCAGGTGTGAATGTATCATTGAAGCTCTATCAAAACGGCAGTATATCACACATCAGTCTTTAACGTGCAATATAGTAAGATAGCCTTGCCGTCAGCTCATAAAATGTTTAATAAAATTTCACGATAATGCAATATGATTTCGATGTATTGATAAATAACCGTGCAGTCTTGTGCCTATCATTTTGCTTCACACGAGAAATAGAGGTTTCTATCATTTTATAAGTATAACTACATCATAAATGTCATTTCAACAAGAAACACGAAGACGCTGGGGATTTAACACACCCAACATAAAAATATAGGCCTAAATCGTATGACCGATTTCGATATCAAGTTATATTTTCAGAGATAAAACTGCACGGAGCTTACTTAGACATGTTAAATTTGCTCAATACAGTAGCACGGAAGATCTTTTTCATGTAATTGTTGATATTCCGAACCAGTTCTTCAATATTGACGCAAATGAAAATCTTAATCCTAAATTGGCGCAAAATTAAAATTTTGATTCACTTGATGTTCCGTTATGTCAAAACAAAAATCTAGATTTGTTCACTATCGGCCGTTTTATAAAACCATTACAACCTGGGATCATATTCATATATTAAGAAGTACCAGACAACATATCAATCAAAGCTAACACTTAAGTAGATTGGTTTGCTCATGACTAGGAGTTTACGGAAGGAACATATACTCCTTCAGGCACCGGAGTACGAAGCACATATACGACAACCACATGCTCTGAAAGAGATCATTGGGGTAAAAGCCAAAGAGCATAAGCGAGAAGAGATTATTTCAAATTCCATTTGTTGCTTTCGAAATAACCGGAACACCAGCATTTGGCATTATTAACAGCTTGTGTCAATCCTTATAAGTCACTATTCCTGTTATAGAAACGCCTTTCCGTCATTCTAGGGCTGTATGCAACGTTACCGTCCGAACAACAGCATGTAGGCGGCAGAATACACAGAGAAGGACCTTACAGTGTTAGTACCAAAGTTCAAGTTTGAGGCATTTCAGTTTATTTACTGTTGCATTATTTTTTTTGTCTGTAATGCCCACTGAAGACTTAGTCGTTTTATTTTTCCTGAGGTAGTACATGGGTACAGCAGTGGGCTTGTTTCAGTGGCGACCGTGTTTCTATTACATACACGGTGTAGAGAACCGATTCATGGAACCTCCGTTTCTAAAGTCTTATCTGACAGACAAAATTGTTAGTGGTGGAGCGTTTGAATCGAACTTGCATATTATATTCTCACAGTGCTCTATGCCTTTATTCTGTACAATGTGCCCAGACTGTATTTCATATTACTGGCTAAAGTAAGGTTCTCATCAAACAATTTAGCTAAACCGCAGACAACATCAGTAGTTCATCACGGGTAAACCGTTTGGCAGAACTTGATTTGACGCGTCGTAAGGCAAAAATGATTTGGACAACTATTGCCAATTCAGTGTAAACTTCCCGTAGTTTGTTAAATACGGCTTCATGTTGTCTGCAAGTGCGACTTAATTTTTCATTACGAATACTTAAACGCATGACACGGATGTTCTGCCTCATTACATATTAATGTCACAGCGACATTGTTCTTAAATGTTAAAAGCGCTATTTTTCGGCCCTTTCCGTCAGTCCTCGGATAAAAACCTCGAACACTACAGTAAGAATACACAGAACGTCCATAGTTTGACGGAAAGAGCCGGGAAGATGCAATCGTCTGAGTACTAGAATATTATTAAACGGAAAGTTTGATTAAGAACGGTTAAGAAAAACAGACATTTCGTTTTCCTGCTAACGTCCGTCACGCTATACCTTCGTCACGGTATATGTCAAATTAAGGAGCTCTTCTTTGAATCACTTCTGTACTTTGCTCTGATACACTCCGATATGAAAAAATAGGTTGATTATACAAATGTTTTCAAACAAATCTGTTTTTCACTGTTTATCAAAGATGAAAAGTTTCCTCCTTTTTTTAAATCTAACTTAGTGAAAAAAACTAACAAAAAAAACTCGTTTAAAAAAGATGGATGGATAAGTTATTTGAAAAGTTGTAAATTATAATTACTTAAATTATCAAATTATCAGCCGTGTACTTCTTGAACCGTCTACAAGATTATCTTTGATCATAGCATAAAACATTGCACATCAAAAACGAATTAATGTAAAGTTAACTACATCCCGCTTTATGTTAACTAATCAGTTTTTTTCCGAAAAAAAATGAGTGTTAAACCACCGTCGATAACCGGTCATACTCATGTGCAGCAAAGTCAATTTCTTCATGATAAATGTGAACTTCTCTTAGTGAATTAAACAACATAAGGCCGATTTCTGTAACGTAATATTTCCTTGTGCTATTGAATAAGCATATTTTCAGAAGCAGTATTTATGAATTTGCAAAAAAATGGTTACATGACATGCGGCATCTTCAAATGCCTTCAAAAGTATCACGACACTTATGTTTTGACAGTGTTTTATATTGAACATAAAATAGTTCGTGTTAATGACCGACAGACATCTTTAAAAACTGTGATTTAGTGGATATTTATTCATTCATTCAGTAATTTAGACATACCGATTTCTTTATTTGCGATAGTGAAATGGTGCATTTAAATACATGTAAGTGAATAACGCTGGACAAACAAGAATCTATGGCCCCTAGGGCAAGTTATGGAAAGTCGTAAAGTCTCCTTTGGATTCTGAATGCCGGTGAAGTGGTTGTCTAATATCATCACATCTTCTATATTCCAGTCTTTCCTGTTTTAGTCGGTACATTCGGAGTACCTCACCGATAACCCTTTAATCCTTTAACAATCGCGACTTCTCGGCATCTTTTCGGAAAGGAATCTGGATTATCATGAATAACTGGCGAGGTGTTCCAAGTTGGATTGCAATTGTTAAATAAGGGAATACAGTGAAAATCGTAATTTTCTTATTTAGTCATGTCATTTCAGCCCAAACAGGCAGTAAATACACCTAATTAATTAAATGAACATTATGCCCCAGAAACAAATACTTTTTTCCTCTACGTGAGTTTCAAAAAGCTGACATAAAAGTCACAAAATGAAAACAAACTAGAATTTTGATTTCTATACAAAACACTAAATTTCTATAACATTACTTATTGTCTAAAGGCAACAAAATCCAAAGAACTGACGGTTCAGGTAATAGGCCAATAAGACGTTTTTTTGGAAACTTCACAATGTATATCAGGACACCAAAAATGGAAAAAAAACTTTAGGGAAATAAAAGTGAAAGCATTTATATATGGGTCATAATGGGCCTTTAAAACAATTCATAACAGTTTGGTCATGTATTGTTCTTACATGTGTTGCAATTGTTTTGTTTTTTGGTGATTACAATTATTCAAATTATTCAAATACATTAAATTCTCAACGTGCTATTCATATCATATTTCATAATTGAGCCGCGTCACGACAAAACCAACACAGTGGGTTTGCGACTAGCATGGATCCAGACAAGCCTGCGCATCCGCGCAGTCTGGTCAGGATCCATGCTGTTCGCTTACAAACCCTATTACAACTAGAGAAACTGATAGCGAACAGCATGGATCCTGATCAGACTGCGCGGATGCGCAGGCTGGTCTGGATTCATGCTGGTCGCAAACGCACTATGTTGGTTTTGTCGTGACACGGCTAATTTCATTTAGCATTCATATAACATACATATATTAAACAATAAAATACATGCAATGCATACATTGGTACTATTCTAAATGTTCTGTTGCGGGAATGATATATCCAACTGATTAAGAACGCTTCCGTTTGCAAACGACATTTTATAAAGTCGAATACCTGTTTTGTGCGGTTCTTTTTAAATAGTATCTTGGACGCATGTTTGCAACATTTTTTCTTCTTATTAACGTTTACAGTATTTTCTGTACTTTCTACCGTCATTATTGTCTTCTTCACAAATAACTGTCAACTTCGCCGCGCGAAGTTAGCGGTAGAGAACATATAAGGTTTCTGGTATATTTACTGGTATATGACAAATTCTATCATTCGGAATGTCTCTCCGATTACCACTAATCAAACAAACTCCTCACTTTGGACCATTGCGCAAAAGTCTGATAATCAACCCTTATCAAAGAGGCAAAAATTTTCGAGACCAAAACGTAACGTAAAACAACCTCCACTAAGAACTTAAACTCATGACATACCTAGTGCTTTTCTAGCCTAATCGAATTGAATATACCCCCACCCGTTTTACAAGCTATTATACAGTTTTAAGCTCGCATAATTTAAAAAAAAAAGAAAAAAAAAGATCCAAGGGCACTCACTTGATAATTTTCATATTTAAAAGCCGATATCGGAGAGTTGTACTCAGTGGCCATTTAGCGGTATTTAAATAGTTTATCGGAGTTGTATTCTGATACGAGCAATTCGTTCAAATTTTACATCAATGTTGAAGATGTACCCGTAACAATAAATGATAACGTGTTTTTATCTCTGCTCCTCTTCTAACTCTATCAAGTGTTCAAACTAGAAACACGACTGTACGGCTGTTCGTCTGACGTAAATTTATGAAATGATCAAAGTATTGGTAACCCTCGGTGATAAATTGCTACAACCACCAAGTGATACTCCTTCTTTGATAGACCTGTCGAACACTTTAAGTGTCTTTACCGACAGATTAACACTGTTTAGATTAAAAGATACCCGATTAGACAGGTGTTTGCTTAGCCGCTACACATACAGAAGGCAATTGAACCCTTTCCGGACAGTTCCATTCTATATATGCGGTAAAATATATGGGCTCCGATTGGTTTAGAACTTAATAAAATTACCGATATTGCAAAATCAAGCTATAATTTTCAACCCCTAAGTAACAAAATTGTCTATTCTAGTTCTTTACAACAGACGGAGTCATTTCAGACGTTTTGGTAAATCAGTCAATCAAACCAGACCTCGTTTATTTTTAAATAATGGAAACCAGGTTAAAAGTATTTGATAACAGAAAAATGAATGGAGAATTCTAAATATGTATTTTAAACAAGATAATGATGTTATAAGATAACTCATACGATATCAAATTGTTTTTTCTATTACAAAAACAGACATTCGTATGAAAGTTGGGATTGATTCACCGGCTGTCAAGATATACATAAATACACCTGTATTTATCAAAATTGACCGAAAGTCTGCAAAAAAAACGCCAGAATCACTGCAGCGTTTAGAGCCCCCATTGTGAATACAACTAAATTAGAATCTGCACAACAAGCAAAATAGACGTCTGCATTGATGATTAACATTTAACAACTATAACTTCCTATATATACATACACCACATAATTAAATTGTCATAAATATAGCCTAAAACTCACGTGCATTTCAATTTAAATAAAATATTCTAAGGTTTAACTTTCGCTTATATACATACATACGTGCACACATTAATACGAAATTAAAAAAAAAGAATGTTGCAACTGAAATTAAATGAAAATTTTACACAAAAATGCATGAAAATTTATTGACTGCATTTTATTGCTATAACGCCAAGGTACTGATAGTTTTATAGCATGCTAGGTAGGTGCAAAATGATCATTAATAAATAAATAAGATGTAATATCTAAAAAAAAGTACCAAGTATTAAAATTCTTAAGCGATTATACCCCCGTAAAACATATTGCTTTGCATTTATCATGTGATGTAAAAATGAAAAATATCATTCGAAATATATATACATGTATATGTAAATTATACTTACCAGAATTAGTGATATCCCAATTTGGGTATAAATTCCTAAACACCTTTTCATTTTCCTTACTCCATAGTTTTCCTTCCTTAAACACTGCCAATCTTATAGTCCACATTTGTTTTATATTTCTCAATTCATTACACAAAATGATATATCATTGTTTAAAGTAGAACTTAGTCCGAGACTCTAATTGTACACTACAAGCCGAACTAAGGGATATATGTATGAAAACTACAATGAAATATTACACAAAGCTTCCAAAGTAAGCATTAAAACTTTATCAAATACCGCTATCCATGTTTTCTGCACGTTATTACCATATTCTCAATTGTTTTATATAAAGCTAGCGTACGTCTCTCCGAATTTTTTCATCAAAGTGTATAAATGTAACCTTTAAGTCTATTTTCATAACTTTATCTTAAACCAAATTGAAAAAAAAAGATATTAAATTATGTACGGTGGATACTCTGGCCTAGCTACTCGCTTTTATTAATCTACGAAAAAGTCAGTAATATATCCCGCAAACCCCCTGCCTAACTCTTCGTCGGAGAAAAAATGTCTTAAATTTTCTTTCATACCTTTTCGTTTATATAGCTTGTATTTTTTACAAAGTGTAGTAATTACAGATAGAAGCGCGCGTACCGTTGTCTGTCAATCGCCAAATTAACTAGTTGTCCGCGTGAAGGCACGCTTCTTCTCCCGTTTCCCCCTTTGATACCAGAAAGGTAACAGAAGTTTAACAACTAGTTACCGATGATAAAGTGCTTTTTTCTGCAGTTATTTCTCAAAAAGAATTTAAACCTCTTTATTTACGTACAAAAAAGAGAGAAATAAGCTATATGTTTCGAACTCATAAAATATCAAAACTTAAAACAATAATTTTCGACAAATAAACCATCTTATGACGATTATTGACTATTTTTTCACCGTATTATTGAAGTGTATGTACTACTGTTGAACTTGTTAACCCATAAACCATAAACCACAAGTATAATATATAAACGGTTTCTTATAAACTATAAAGAAAATTTAACACATATATATATATTCTGAAGGTATCCTGTGTGAAACAAGACAAGAAAAAATCGTTCACTGAAATTCTCTGATAACACCAAGAAAAAACATTCAAAACGGTCTTGGTTATGTTTTTGGCATTACAGGTGTCCACAGAGTCTTTTTTAGATATTGTTAAAAAAACATATAAGTATAATGCGTCGTAAAACGGATTACATGTATATGTTTTTTTTCATTTTCCATATTAAGCTGGTATACGAGACAGCCGCTATAAAACACATTTTATTCGTGTGGTCAGCACAATATATCAAATGGCCTGACACTGACCAATGAAATATTGTAAGTAGAAGGTGGATGGACATCTCGCTCGTACAGTGGCGAGTTTAGTACAAATGATAATGTAAAATTATTTTGTCCAGCTTTTCTAATTTTCCCGCGCACCTGTTAGCTGCGTCTGACCGCACAAAGTCATTGCGTGCTAAAATTCGTTTTTATGTGATATCCCAATAGACCCCCCATTTGTGAAACAGCAGATGAAATCTTTCAAAGAAATATATAATTATCAAACTTATAAACGATTTTTTTTTTGTCGTCTGCTACAAACAAATATCTTTCCAACATCTGTTCATAGGAAAAGTTATGACTCACGTACTATTCACTGACAAACCATAAATATCGCAAAAAGTATAATGTACTAAAGCGCACTTGCTCTGACTATGACCACCACCGTGCTAGGGACGGCAAAATGAAAATGACTTCACATAACATGAACCACGTGAAATGCGAAGAACGCTCAATCCAGAAGGAAATTGCAAAATAATGATCTCCGCAAAGGGAAATTTGCATTACGGTTTTTCTTTAATAAAGACCGTTTTTGTTTATTTTTTGTTTATTTACTTTTATTACTTATTATTCGCTTAATATTGAAACCAAATAAGATAGACTTCGCGCGAACGGCAGCAGAAAAGTCCGCCTTTTTCACGCTATTAGGACTACCTTTGTCCTTTCTGTGGCATAATTTTGATTCGAACTCTTCCTACTTTACCACGGTAAGTTTTAACAGTTGCAAAACCAGAGTCAGGATCATTCTAGCTATAAACTTCAAATGTAATAACTTTAAATACGCATTAAAAGCTGTACTTCAAAAGTGTTACCTCTTAATTTAAATTCTAACACAAGATTTCAACAGATGGAGTGCAAATGTGAAATACAATAAGCCACTCAAGCTTTCATAGAATTGTTTTAATTTACATATTAAATTACTCTCCTATAACAACTGGAAATTATACTTTATTGTAAAATAATGCAATTCTGTAATAAAATCCGCCGCGCTTTCATTCATATTTGTTTCACTTGTAAAGCATTTATGACGTGTAGTGTACGCTAAAAATGACTAAATATGCAGACGACAGGGATATACTGTTTTAATACTCGTAAATTTTGTGTTAAAAGGGCGCATCCACAATCGGAGACATGATATTATTTCTAACTGTACGACGCGTTAATATGTACGTTACTCTGCTTTTGGGCAAGAGTTTAAGTTTGAAAAAACATACATGTAAGTCTTATTTATCAAATGTGAAACAAGTTCTTCCATCTTATTATTATCATGTTGAATCGTTCCATGAAATTAACAAAACCTCCGCTACAGTGGTCCCACTTTGAGTCGCTGCACAGACATTCAAATCACTGTAGGTTTGGGAATAAACCAGTAATGACCAAATGCATCTTTTCGATGCTTTCCGTCAAACTTCGGATATTATTGATAATAGCCTAGTTGTTCCGATTGCAGTTCCGATTATTGTTCGAACCCACGATCCATGTATTGAGGGATAGACACTGTGACCACATGAACTAAAAAAAATCTTGTAATCAGACTATTCAAAGAACTTCATGACAATAGCAGAATTTTGTTCTAACTTTTTGTATATCAACTTTGATTTTGACTAAGTAGAAGTGAAGAGTTTTAGTTTATTGCAAGTGTGTACAATGTATATGAAGGTCACATATTTTCTTTTAGTTTTATTCTTAAATAGAAGTTCACAGTTCAAAATCTTAAACAAACGATTATGATGAATTTGAAGTCCAAATACAAATTTTAAACAAACGTTAAGTCATGGATTTTAATATGAGTCCATACCTTAATTAAACGAACACCTAAGTGATTGGTTGCTCGCGTGAATTATTATTCTAGAATTGCAGTTGTACATTTTCTTTAAAATCATCGATAAAAGCATTGATGTTTTGGGAATTAACTTATTGTAATGGTTATATGACATGAGAATTTTACGCGTCAAAGGTTTCTGGTAGCCCACGGATAATGCCGAGATGTTCCGATTGTGACAATTGGTGCGAGATGTTCCGAATGTCCGATATTACCATAGGCTATATTTAACTTAAGTTTAGTCAAACTTAGCTTTATTTTTGTCTGGTATTTATATTAAGACATTGTTTAAAATATGAAACCTTAAAGTTTAGTTTATTTTTATATGAAGGGAACAAATTTGTAATAATGTAAAATTCTGCCAGATTTTGCAAATAATGTAGAACAATTCTTGGCACACGCGGCACATTTTGATATGCTACTACCACTTTTTAATCTAAAATTCAGAATGGTTCTTAAAATTAATATATGAGCCGTGTCATGACAAAACCAACATAATGCGTTTGCGACCAGCATGGATCCAGCGCAGTCTGATCAGGATCCATGCTGTTCGCTTACCAACTCTATTACAAGTAGAGAAACTGATAGCGAACAGCATTGGTCCTGATCAGACTGCGCGGATGCGCAGGCTGGTCTGGATCTATGCTGGTCGCAAACCCATTATGTTGGTTTTGTCGTGACGCGGCTCATATTAAATTTACTTTTAATAAATACGTATGAAAAATTGAGATGAGTTCATGTAACATTTTACAGGTTTTATTTCTTTTTAATATTACCAAAGTATAATTGCAGTGGATTTAAAATACACAATCAAAATGTGTGCATGACTGTGTAATTATTTTTGTACATGTATAAATGGCTTAAATTCAAAACGGAACTAAAACTGAATACAATTTTTTTCAAGAATATCATTGCATAATCAAAAGTATTTATAGACATTTTCGATAATTTTGTCTTGTCAATGATTTGCTATAAATAGCTTGAATAGTAAACTTCAAAAATCTTCTCCAAATCCCCCATAGGCGTGCATGTCGCGGAAAAGGCACACGGCAGGTCAAGGTCAAGTCATCCTAAGTACCAGGGATGATAGGTTGACCTGTCGTGACTAACCCGTCCTGCAATGGGTCGTTAGGGCCTATCATGAAACAAAGATGCCTTGGAAATAGTGTCGCAACGTACGAAGAATAGGACTTGGGCAGATCTGTATGAAGTTGAATTCCCGGATGTGGCTATAATCAGCGGCCCGGCAAGGACGCCGTAGGTCTCGGACATACGGTTAGTTCCTGTGCCGAGTATAAATAAAACCCCAACCCAACCACGTACACAAGCGCGCGCACACACACATCATAGGTAAATTCCGTATATATATATATATATATATATAAGAAGGAAACAGACAACTGCTGGATAAGCAAAAATGAGACATAAATGGTTACTTCTTTGAAATAAAACCCATCTGAATCTGGTATACATTGTAAACAAGTTTAATATCATAAAAGAAAGAACTTGGATAAATTCTTTCGTTTTATTCTAAAAATAGATAGAACATATTGTGACGTAACTGACGTTGACGTCACTGCATAAACGTCGTTGTCTTTGGTAACGTCAGAGGAAAAAACAGCAAAAGTCCTGCATTCTGAGGTATGACTAGATTTTGTGTATAATTTAGTATAATAGTTTTATATTTCTCGTTTTTACAGCTAAAATACCAGCATTGGTATGCGCTTGTTAAAAGAAATGTAACAAATGGTTTCAATTCATTGACACCAGCTAGATGATATTGTATATAACAATTTTAGCCTTGTTTCATGTAATGCAGCCGTTGTGTATCTATATTATATTTACGTCCATGTTTCACTCATTGATTTGTTAAATGTATAATGATTTAATGATACCATAGCAGTCTTACGTGAACTGTTATATACTGCCATTGACAGGAAAATTTCGTCGCACCAACTGTTCTAAGAAAGCATAAATTTCAAGTAAATACGAGCCGTGTCACGACAAAACCAACATAAAGGGTTTGCGACCAGCATGGATCCAAACCAGCCTGCGCATCCGCGCATTCTGATCAGGATCCATGCTGTTCGCTTTACAAACATTATAACAAGTAGAGAAACCGATAGCGAATCCATGCTGGTCGCAAAAGCATTATGTTGGTTTTGTCATGACACGGCTCATATTAATGATTAAACCGTAACCTGCTGGAACCGGAAGTGGTTAGTCTGTGTCACGTGCATATAGCCGGGACCAGGCTCTCTATTGTTGACAGCTCAATTTTTGTGTTATGTTTACGAAATTCTTTATACATTTAAACCAAGAAATTTCATACCAAAATTCAATTTGGATAAAAACAGATCTGATCTGAAGTCAGAAATTCCAGCAGATCAAATGCAATGTGCCGTACAGTCAAACATCAGCTAATTGCACATGATACTAGTATACCATAGACTATAATTTTGCTTTATTTTTTCTGCGTATTCTCCTGTCGGTGTGAGAATAAGCATAAATGAGCCGCGTCATGACAAAACCAACATAGTGCGTTTGCGACCAGCATGGATCCAGACCAGCCTGCGCATCCGCGCAGTCTGGTCTGGGTCCATGCTGTTCGCAAACCCATTATGTTGGTTTTGTCA